CGACACCTCCGAATGACAAATGCTATGAGCAGGCTTTTTATGACAGCCAACCTAACAGAGTGATATCGTCACTCCTACATGATGAACCCAGTAGTAAATCAGCATGGCTTCTTAACGCACTAAAGCCATTGGTTTCAACTAAAATCTCTCATTGTTATCACCTCGAACAAAGCCAAATAAAGTAAAGTTGTTGGCAGACATATATATGTATGTATGTGTATAAGGCGATTTGCCGGTCGGGTCTAAACCAGTGATCGGACTTAAAAACAAAAATTATATAATATGTGGTATAATATGGAAAAAATGTGGTAGATTAAAAAAAAATGTGTTAGATCTCAGGTCAAACTTTGTAAAAAAATAAAAAAAATTGCAAGGTTTCATCTATATTGCAAACTTTTAAATTAGACTCTAAAAAAAATTTTATGTTAGTATAATAAAGTGCAAGATTGAAGTTGCTAAAAGTTGCGTTGAGTTTTGGCACTTTTTTTTCTTGACACTGTAAAGCAGTTTTTTCCATATCAAGATATTTTCCAAACATATTTTAAGAGATTTCTGCAACCTCGCGGAGTGCTGCCAGCTTTTCTTTTTATCACATCACGAAGTAGCGAACAAATGTGGCACGTTCCAGAAACCGCCACTTGGGATTTACCAATTTTGACAATTCTCAAGTAAAAGTAAACAACGCCTCAGAAACTTTAGATGCACTTAAATTTGCCAATACTTTCACAAAAATCGCCGTTTTTAAACATTTTCGCTATAAATTCTTTTTATAAATCATATATTTGGCAATTTAACACAATAAAAATTATTATTGAGAAAATTTACTATTTTACTGTTTATTTCATCCTCCCATTCGGCTTTGTTTACTTTTACTTGAGCAATTCCATCGCCGCCGGGAATGCGGAATCTTATATTATATAATTTTTGTTGCCATATAGTGTTTAGTGTTGGACAATTTTTGCTCTTAAGGTTAAGGAAATTATGTCGAGTAAAAAATAAAGCTACTCAAAAACGCGATTATGTGGTAGATTTCTGACCTTGAGTGGTAGATGCTCAAAAAAGTGGCAGATCTACCACAATGTGTTAGAAGTCCGATCACTGGTCTAAACTATACTGTGCCTTTATCGAGAACTATTACAACGTCGTGGACGAACTCTGTCTTAATACTATCGTGGGATGCCTTCTGATGTGGTCTGATCCATAACTCATTGTACGTAGCAAGGCCCAACGAACCTCATCCCAGGCACGCCAGCAGCCATCTCATGCGACTGAAATACCGGGTTCAGTCTTGTGTCAACTGTGAAGCAGTACCCAATACCTTGGTCAATTCTCGCCCTGTGAATGATTTCAGCGGGGAACACTCCGCTGGCACTGCTAGGCACTACCCCGTTCTGGCTATGTCTGTTCACGTTGGAAGATTGTTTTAACAAAACACATTCAGGAACACACCGGCGAGAGCCAAATTATTTTTAAAATATCCATGTAATTTTGAGCTCCAACAGATCCATCAATAAAATAAACTTTTACCACACCTTTTGAAGCCTTGCAGCCATTGTGACCCTTTGGGCTGTCTCTACGGTACGCTTCCTTTTAACGCAGTTCAGAAGGTATTGGATGCAACGTCAGAACTTCAGTGACGCATCTAAATTCGAGGAATGCACTGCTGCTATTTTAGAATTTTGTGTTTTTCTAATTAATCCTAAACATAACCTCGAATTACTGTGCCGAATCTTGCTCGCTCAGACTTGATTGCATTCTCTGTCAATAGTTTCATTATTCTTTCCGTTTCACTATATTTTCTCCATAAGTGAATTACGATCGTACATTTGTGTGTTTGAAATGTTGAGATCGGAACTTAACAAGTTTATTAAAAGAACTACTATTGGCTCAATGTTGTTATTAATGTTTACTATGTTGCATTGTGTTATTGTTGTCAGCACGCAAAAGGACATGAAATGTAACATGTCATACACGCACATTTACCATTACACACGCACGCACGCATATTCAGCACAAAGCAATATCTTATAACTGCGTACGATTGCACGCAGCGACCGACTTGGCGGCTTAAGCGGCCACCCTACACCCAGCACCTCCAACCAGCTCGCCCCAATGTTCCCATGTTCAGTGCCAACAATTCGAAACAAGCGCAAACATACTGCAAAACAAGCTGGCAACAAGCTCTGACAAGACAACATACATTAAATGTTTTTCTGTCATAAACGTGACTTCGGCATGTCGTACCTAATGGCAACTTCATCTGCGCCCAAAGTCGGCTGGCTAGCTGGCTGTCTACCTGGCCGGCTGATTGTCCCAGTTGGTGCGCTCCAAATGTTCGCCGGCCGTTCAAACGCGGATTCTCACACGGCTGATTGCGGCCAATGAAGGCAAAAGCCACCCACCGGTGTTGCGCACCGCACCGACGAGCAAAAGCTGCGCCGCCAAATTGGATTCCATCAGCGATCTTGTGCTTCAGATCTTCACGTCAGCGACATTTGATCATCAGATCAGCGCGCATCAATTGCGCCATGAAATATGACAATCGCAATCGTTCGGAGTGATGTGACGGTTAGACGAGCGCCTGTCGGACATTCCGGCGGGCATTAGCTCACGAGTTGCGCGCGCTTTCTACCAGGCGATCTTCATAAATCAAAAATTGCTGCAGAGTTACTTGTGTTCCATTGTACTATTTATGTAGTTTAAGTCGTGTTTTTCTGGTTTTTTTGTGAAGTGCTTGTACTTTTGATATTTTCGCGTCATGTTTCTCGGTAACATTCGATTATTCCCAACGCGATCGACTGATGTTCATTTCGGTTGGTTTGTTTTTT